GAAATGCAGAAGTTGCAAGCCATCTTTCATATTTGGAAGCTAAAAATATATTATTTTATTTTATAATAAAAAGATTTGATTTTTGATAAGTTCTATGCTTTAACTTTGAATATTCAATAAAAGATGAAAGTTAACGATTCAATATCATAAATTTGGAAGTAATTTTGCAATCCTTTCAATCTTTTACTGATTACTTCAAAGAAATTTTATTTTCACGCAAAACTTTTAAACTACCTTACAAAATTATGAACTTTTGCAAAGTAATAATTAATATAAAACAAACTTTGGTTGTTTAGAATTTGTATGCTAGCTTTTATTATAGAAGCAATTAAAAGATCAATCACTATTTTTAAATTCAAATAATTTTAAAAATGCAAGAATTTTTCAAATGCAACTAAAATTTGCAATAAAACCTTACCAATTTACTACATCGTATAATTTTTTTAGCATTATTTTCACGAAGTTTACATTTCTGCCTGAAATGAAAAAATTAAAATTATAAACACAAAATACGCATAATTAATAATATTGTTTGGAAAATTATTCTGAAATTTACAGTAATCATAAATTTTCAATGCATGCATTCTGCGTATTATTACTGCTGTCCTAGAATTTACTCGGAATGTTTAACGAAAAAAATAAAATTACCGAAAAAAGTTGATTTTCTTAAAAGTGCTTTGTTCAATCACGTTTTATTCGAATTCATTTTTTTCCTATTAATAAGTCATTGAAATACAAATATGTACTATTTTTCATGTTTATACATAGTGTGTAATCAACTAAGCTTGCTTTGTTAATTTCAAAATTCAAATTTGTTTCTGATATTGTAATATATATTTCCACCATTTTAGTCAATTACAGTTTTTTAATAATGTAGATCAAAGCCAAATTACTAAAAATACCATCGTTGATCAACGAAATTTTGAACAGATTCTTGATTCTGACTTGTAGAAAAAACAAATGGAACAATTAAATGAGTTGAGAATTGTGTGCGAAATAAAGTGCTACGATTTACTGCGCAACAATTATATTTCTCCTTAAAAATGCATTGATAATTCATGTATGAAAATTTCATATTAATACTAATTTTTTTTAAAATAATTGCTGTATAACATTTAGTTTATATTAATTATTTACTTGTGATTCTTTAAACGACTCAAATAACACATGTAAAAATTTGAAAAAATTGAATATAGTTCTGATTATGGCTTGTATTTTTCTAATACGTAATAAAAATGTATTGTATTTGAATGATACAATACGTAAGACAAAGTCTGATGTTAGTTCAAAATTTTTTGTGCTCTTATTGAATGATTATCTAGATTTAAGTTTCCACTGATGAAAACTAAATCTCAATCCATCCATTACACATATCACAAATATGTTTAATATTTTTAGATAACTGTTATAATACATTTTTCATGACACTTTGAAAAAATTTCATAAAAGTTATGAATTAAGTAACTGCGCTCATTTCTTTAATACAAATATAACTAAATTTAAATAATTGTCTCATCGATTAGCGATCAATTTTATGATTTTTAAGAGTAAAAAAAGGATAAATAATTCTGATTGAGAGCAAATAATGAATCATTCTGAATACAATTTAGCATCATTGAGAAAGCACGAAAATTTTAATCAAAAATGAATAATTTTACACCTCAAATACTGTAATAACGAGTGCATCATCAGGTATTGACATTTTTTGCTGTCTATATGATGCTGCAATTAACCAAGCATCAAAAAAATCATCATCCATAATAAATTTATCTGATGTAAACTGAAAAAACAAGCATTGCTACAAATAATGCAAAATTATAATTTGAAAGTAATAATAGCTTTACTTTTTATTTCTAAATATTATCACTTATTTTTAATTTTACTCTATCATGATTATAAACTTTATCAAGTATAATGCAATGTTTCACTGAGAAGTAGAAAAAATTTACAATTTTGACTCGAAAATGAGTTTGAAGTAAAGAAGGAAGAATGAATGTTGCAGTTGCTAAGAGCATTACGGAGTGTAAAATGCATATACTGTATCGTTTGCTACTGAAACTTCAAGTAATTAATTTCTGAAATTGAGTTTATTCGTTTTCAATTTGATAATAATTATTGACAACTTGACTTGATACTCAACTAATTTAATCTTATCTTACGAAAGATTGATAATTTTTGTTAAAATCAAAACAGACTTGCTTTTGTTGAAATTATTTACCTACTTTCCGATCCAGTAAGAATCATAATAGCTGCAATTGAAATCATTATAAATAAAACTGCAAACCAAACTGAACCAGTCATTAAATAACAATACTGTTTGTAGAAATGTTGATCCATTGAACGTACAAGTTGTTCATTTTCTGTCTGAAATTATCATCCATCTGAATTACAACTGCCGATTATAATTTAATTTCTACAGCTTTTATTACATTTTTAATGATTTTTATTGGTAGTCTTTGATGCTTTTGCTGAATATTTTTTTCAATTTTCTCATCATAATTGCGTTAAACTGATTTATTTTCACTTTTATGAATTAATAATTGCAAAGCATATTTTGTTCTCAAATTTTGTGCTACTATAAATTGAAATAAAAGTATAACTGACAAGAAATATTTATTACTTTTGCGTGATTAAATCCAGAAATATCAAACAAATATTTTTCTGAACGATACAAAGTATGTTAGTCCAAAATAAAAAATAACTATTTCCAAACCGAATTTTTTATCAGCAAGAAATTATTTCGTTGTGTAGTTAACATATTTAGTGGTGCATCAGGTGCTATATTTATTATTCGAAGAATTAACGCAAATAGTACAAATGCAGCTAAAATTAACAGTGACTCCAATGTAATTACAGCGTATGTGTATGGTCGACTATATTTTCCGCGCTATCAAAACAACATAATTTAATTAATGTAAATTTTATTAATATAAATTAGAAAATAATATTATTTGACTGACAAGTATATATTGAAATGAATTTAATTCATTTGCATGTTATTTACTAAATTACAAATTAACCTTAAAGCATTGCTTACAGCATATAAAAAAGCTAAAAATGTGATATAGTCCAAATGATTCGAAAGTAAAACGAAAAATTTTATCTTTTAGCTAACAATTTTTAATTGGCTTTAAGTAAAAATGAAGCCTGAAAAATTACCCATACTTCTAAATAGAATGATAAGTTATCATTTGTACATTTGAATTCAGAACTAAGTAAGAAATTAAGGTATTCAAGAAAGTTAGAAAGTATGGAAAAAGTTGAGTAATTTCACTCCTACTTTTAATTATATTTCATGAAAGCAATACTTTATTTCCAATTTGGTACCAAGAATAAAATTCTGCATCTAAAAATGGAACTGATAAAATGTTTTGTTTTTTCTCTCGAATTATTCTTCGTTGACCTCTGTCAGGATATGGTGGTAAGACAATTTGTTGTAAACGTGAAGTTTTTTCCATGCGAGCATTCGACCACTCAAACTATGCAATACTAAAAAAATTACAATAGTGAAAGTAATAATTTAAAAAGTATTTATAGTCGTTTGGTACAACAGTATTAAATATTGAATAAAAACAATCACATTAATTGTAATACAAAAATTATGACAAGTAAATATGGAAATTTTTGACGATATTTTTGGCGGTAAACTGAATGCTCTATTTTTTTCGATCAGAATTAGTATTTCACATGCAATCTTTTCAACTAAATGATGAAAATTTTTGTCCCATTTTTAAATCACTTACATTGTGTCGAATTCCTAATTTTTTATGCGTTGTTTCTTTACTTTTTCAAAAATATTTCACCAATTAGTACCACCAATAAACCATGCAAACTTTGTGTCACAATTTCGGTAAAAGTAAATAGAAGTAATAAACTTTGCAATGTCATTACCCATGTGCCTTAGTTCTAAATGATAAGAAAAAGTTGAGTAATTTGAAAATTTCCAAAATTAGTATTTTATATATAATACATATGTCTATATATATATTATTGCTTTCCATTAATTCGTAACTTTTTTTAGATTAAAAATTGAAACTAACATAAAAATTTGACAAATAATTTTTTCATATGGCGATGATAACATGCAACAATTAAACAAAATATATTCTAAATAAACCATTAAATCGAAAAGCTCAAGAAGTCAACAGTTCAAAAACAATAACAAATGACGTAACACAAAAATTTAGCTAAGCAATATGCAGAAATATACCAGTTATTCTACTATCCAATTTTCATCGCCAATAAAAAGATGCATATTTTAGCTATTTCAAATTTCAAATTGCTAAAATATGAATTTAATATTACTATTATTTGCTTACAAAAGTATAAATTGTTGAAATTTTTAATAAAAACTTTATGTCTGCCCAGTAATATATGACTACATGTTTTAGCTAGTTGATGTTCAGCAAGAATGAAGTACATATATTTGTTGTTCATTACGTACTGCAAAATCATAGATACATTATTCAATTCGCCATACATAACACAATTTGGAATGTAATTTGAAAAAAATAAATCATATACAGATGATAAATGCAGAATGTTATATATTCGGTATGCATTTCCGCAATATGTTGAACAGTGAGTACAACTAAGTTGGTCAGAAATATAAATTAAAACGAAACGAAGAAATGAATGTCTAAAAAAATTGTTGGTAATTTTGAATCAAAAAGCAATATTTTTTCACATTTCTCCGCTAGAAGAAAATATAACAGTAAATATAAACGTCTAAGAAATTACAGATTAAATCACTAATGAAAGAAGCATATTTTTGTTTAGTAATGAAAATACAAAACTATTTCCATATTTTAGATTCGGTAAAAATATTTGAAAAGCACTTTTTAGAACAACTTTAACCAACTAATTGTGACGGTAATCAACAATTTTTAGTAAAATTAGGGTAGTTTTTTATTTATTTTTTCATCTGGTTCATCATTATTTTGCAATAACAGTAACTATAAAAATAGGAATAAATTATGAATTAAAGAATTCATTTTAGTTCAATAAGGTCGATAGTATCCAGGTGCTGCTAATCTCACGTCTCCATAGAAAGTGTTAGCAACATCTTGAGCATGAGATACATAACTTGGTCCACTAAATGATTGCCGAGAAATTGGAGAACGCAAAGACGGTGATGGAAATGAAGTTTCTTCATGCTGTTGTACTCCAGGCTTAGAAGCAACCTGATTGAAATTAAATAAAACATTAACAGAATAATGAACGAAATTAAGTTAGGGACATACAAGAATATGTTTTAAAAAATGCTCCAGAACTGGTAACAAATTCATAAACAAACAGCACGTCATTAAGTGATATTCACAAATTACTTCATTTAATTAAATTTGAATCTAATAATAATCAGTTCTAGTTAGGAAGACATTTTTTAATATTGCATTCCAAATCAAATTCTCATAAACTTTAATGTATTTCATTTTTTCATATAAAATAATTATTACGGCTGGAAATGAATAACTTACTTTGGAAAACCATTCTTGATAAGTGGTCTCGCCAACACCCTTCGGACTATCCTCTAAAACATTAGGTGATCCTTTGTTTGTACCATTTTGTGAAGCTGTTGTTGCTTGTGAAAATTGTCTACTATGGGTAGATTGATATGCAGCATTTTCAAAACCTCCTCCTGGATTTTTCTTAGCATCTATCGGTAGTACAGCAACTAAATCATAGATTCTCTATAAGCATTGTAGATGAAATTATTTACTCAACCTTATACTTTACTATCAGCTTAATTATTCAGTCTCGTTAAGTAATTTGTATCAAATTAACTGAACCATACGTTGGTTGTTGCATCCATATCCGTTCATAGGAAAAGGTGCATTGAAGCTACTCTGCAAACAAAAATTCCAGTTAATCTACAGGAATGACGATAATTCATCAGTAATATGAAACTGGTAGTAGTAAAAAAGAAATAAATAAAAATAAAGCCAAGCATCAAGTGAAATTACATGATGATTTTCTAAAAGATATATAATGATATATATTATCTGTATATTATTTCAGAAAAACAGTATTATACTATTCAACTATATTAAGTGATCTTTTTTTAGACGAAAAATAATACAACTTACACAATGAACAGATTGTACCTTACGTGATCGGCTGATAATACAACACGCAAGGAAAGTTGCAATAAGGAATAATGATACACCTATACCCAAAACTATCCAGTTTCGAATTTGATCTGCTTTTATTGATGTTTCTGCAATATTATAACAAGGTATTCATCTGGAAGATGATGTAAAAATGCTTTTGAAAAGTTTCAATGAGAGCTGAAGAAAATAATATTAAATAAATTAGGTTAGAAACTAACCTTTTTCTGTCTTTTTTTGTACAATAGATGTTGCTTCAAACTGCAATGATTCTGATGTTTGAAGCGCACTTTGCTGAAAAAAGAAACGAACTATATAAATCAAAAAAATAGCTTGGTTTTATAGGCAAAAAAGATCGTATTTTTTACTATCATTCTTTATTATCATTCAAAGCATCAGTTAAAGATTTGGAACAAACTGATTAGCTGTTATAAACCTTGTTTAGATATTCTTTCAATTCGTGTTCACTTGGTAGAGGTTTATCTTCTGAGAAAAGCGTCATGAAAACCAACACGCTACCTTTGCTGAAACATTATTTGATATTTTTTTCCTTTTGAAAGGTTTCGTACTTGAACTGTAATCTGATCGAAAATTGAAAAATTTAATGCAAATACCTGAACTTTTGTATTTCAACCACTCTCATCTGTGGAAATTTTGTTTTTACCATAGCATTAACCTGAATAATGAACAACAATGTAAAAACTGCATATTAATTAGAAAAAAAACTATAATCAATTTTCTATATTCACGCATGAACAATAATTCTTGAACTGACTCCATTAATCACTTCCGCAGCTAGTTCATGGAATTCTCGAGTATTTCGACTCATATACGCTGGATTCCATTCTCGATTCCAAATCCGTAACACCACATCGTATGCAACCTAAAAACTTCCTGTTGTAATTTGTTCAATAAATTTAGCTACAGTTTTATGATATCTAAATATAAAATTCTGCTTCCACTTAAAAAAATAGATGGCTCGAATTTTTATCTGAAAAACTAAATAAAAAATATGGCTTAACTTTTACATGTAAAAAAACTTAATCTCAATTGAAGAAGTATCATTCTTCGCTGATTCAAACACAAGACCCACAACAATAAATGCTTTACTTATTTAGACTTTTATGAAATTAACACTTTTGGCAGTGAATAAATTATTTGGGTCATCAATAAAGGTATTAATTTATATATTTAAAGTATATGTGCAATATACAATTTCTTCTTGAAAACTAACACTTTTTGCAGTAATTGATTCTTCTGGTAAAACAGACGAATTCAATATTATATCGTGCTGTGCTGTTTTTTTAGAAGCTAAATTATGGACACATGCCATAGGGCAAATTTTCTTTCTTGAAGAAACTGGCATTTCAGCATGCTCATGTACGGCTTTTGTATCTAGAAAGACCGAAAAAATATCCAGAAGATTTTGTCAAAGATTTTTTTTTGTCATGCAATAAAGTCGTAAGCTGAAAAAAAAACTAAAGTAAATCATATAAATGCTTTGCAATCGATTTGTTTGATTACCTTTATCCAACTCTCCGCTATTAATTAAATATATAAAATAGACACAGTGGTCAACTGAAATATCGTTGTCATCAGTCGATACCAAATAACGGGAGAAATTTGCATAAACATGACCATTATCATATGAAGTTTGAATATCAAATAAGTCCTGCTCAGTATCGACAGTTGGTCGATTATAATCTGAGAAATACATGTCCAAGACTTTTATTGTTTTTTCCTGAAATCGATCAACAAATTTTTATAACTGCAATCACCGTCTTTCACGCTGATTCAAACTAAAATCGTACTATAAAATAGTCTTAAATTCCTCATTATGCGTTCTTGAAGCAAGCAAAAGACAAAAGCAAAAACAAAAAACACAATCAAAACCATGAGTTACGTAAAAATTTACGTCTAGTACGCTGATAACAATGACATCTGCTCGCACCATTGATCCATCATGTGAAAAACCAATACCGGTCCAATGATCTGTTGGAATTTTAGCAGACAATGAAAAAGTTATTGTTTTTCCTTTTGTCGACCAATGCACTTTGTAATCACAGTTTGCAGCGGTACAATTGACTGGATTTGCGTAACTATCAGAACAATCAATCTTTGAGCTTGACTTTAACTGCTGCTCACGATTTGAAAGTTCCTTAGCTGACAAAAATTTCATTTCACATGTGAGATAACTTCTACTTGTGTATATTTTTAGAATAAATGTTTAAATTGTCTAGAAATGGGTAAATCTGGAAAATTAAACAATAAGAATCAAAATATTACAGTACAAATATTGTAGGACCTCGTCATGCATTTGCAGAAAGTCTATGTAATTTGATAGGTTTCACCCAAGAGTCAAAAATATACACAGTAAAATTTTTGATAAATAATATACCAAAGAAATTCGTCACAAACAACCCATAACCATCTTTGTCGATAATTTCCTTTTGATCGAAATTATCTTCTAGATAGAAATCAACCATTTTCGTTATGTCATCCTTGAAATTTAATGTTCTACGTAAATTTAACCTTAATTCATCACTTTAATACATAAAATTATAGCAGCAAAAGGTTAGTATGAGCCTTTTTTAGTTGATTTATTTAATTCAAATTAAATCAGATCAATAAATTTTAAGATGAGGAAACAAGAAGATAAAACAAATATTACTCGGAAAATGACATCTTCTGCTGACGACACGAAATTCAGTTCCTTCATACCTTTTGCCCAAATCACTGTAGTTTCTCCTGATGTTATTGCTTGATCAGCATTATCAAATGCTGAAGGAGATATTCATCAGAGGCCACTTTTAAAAATACTATTTACAAATATTTTATTTTTTAATTTTTTTAAGTATTGTAAAAAGCAGTTTATCAGTTTGCTTTAATCAAAAATTAATTTTTAAGTTCCACATTCATATCTGCGAATAAATTGTATATATTTATATTTATGTCTGAAAGTAAATACTTGAAATTGTGTTCAAAAGAATATTTTCATGTAAGTGTAATACATAAAAGCATGCTGAAACGATAAATTATATTTTATTGAGTGATAAAAGAAAAAAATTACGTCAAACTTAATTCTTTTTACCTTCTAAAGGCTTTCGGAAAACAACTGTTGTAATGCCATTATGATAATAAGCAGAAGCGGAAGTTAACGAATTCTGCCCACCGAAAAACTCATCCAATTGTGGTCTAGCATGTGAAACTGAATAGTAATCACGTACACGCGACATGCCATTAATTACTGATCCTATCACTACATCAACGCAATCCAAAGGATGATTACCTGCATTGATTTCAGTACAATAATTTGCAGACCGCATTGCATATTTAACATAAAACTTGAATATTGCTGCATCTTTTTATTCGAAAGTTACCATTTTTGCTTTCTGAAACGCTCTTTGACTGTTGTGGATTCGTTTCTGGTTCCGGAGATGTAAATATTATTGATGGCCCGAGTTCGGCTTCAGGTATAGTTGGAAGATTGCTTACAACAGGACCAAAACCAGAAGACGGTTCCGGTTTCAAGTGTAATTTAGATTCCAGTAAATCTGCATTTGAAGAATTTGACGTTGAATTTAGCAACCAAGCAGTGCTTTTCTGAACTGCTGACTGATCAGCGATAGAACTTGAAGTCGACAAAGTGATTTCAGCAGCAGTAGCAAGTTTCTTGATTTCAAGAGGCAAATGATCTGGTACTGCTTCGTTCTTTAATTTTATCTTTTTTTCGTCGATCGGAAAATCTAATTCCGATTCTGTAAATCAATAACTTCTTTCTTTTTTTTGTGTCTTTTTGTTTTTTTTTTGTGTAACATTCTATAATTTACATCACTTAAAAATTATATTTAATATTGTTATTCACAATACACATTAATCCGCTATTATTCTATAATCGTGTAATCATTGTTATAATTGTTGCAATTACCATTCTTCCTACTACTACTATTACATTCATGATATTGTTCACTGATTACTTCTGCTATGTAAATGAAGTATAGAAATGATATGCAAATATTAATTTGATTTCGGAACAAAATCGAACTACAAAATCTATCTTAAAATATTTTAATTAATTCTAGAAGTTCATGTATTGTTTTTAACAAAAATTCACCTTTATCAAATCCTGCAAAAGGATCAATCTGAACTTCAAATGGATCTTGCAAGTGTAGCTTATGTCTGAACGGAATATCCATTTCACTTGTCTGACGACGATTCCGCACTGCTGGTGGTGCATCATCGAAAGCAATTGAAACACCGTTCTACATCACCAAACTCTTATTTACATTCAGTCCAAATCATGATAAAAAAGTTGCAATTTCAATTTTTGTGATTCATTAAATAAGAAAAATAGTCATTAATGAAATTATAAGAATGTTATTAAATAAATGATCTGTATTTTCTATATCCCTTTGCATATTGTTAAACTCCTCTGAATTTGAAAGTTTTGGATAAGTTCAAAAATCAAGAGAAATTAATTAGGCTTTTATTAATCAAACAATTTGTAATTGATAGCATATTCAAAATAAAATTAAAAGCAATTATTACTTGATCACAAATGCAAATTTTGGTGCGTGAAACTTTAGGCTGATAAAGATCATGATAACCAATTGGTGTTTTCGCATTACGAAAGTCTTCACTTTTTCGCGCTAAAACTCGTCCTCCACCTATTGGAAACAAATAATAGTAACACTTGTTTAGCGGGAAATCTGTTATGGTATCAGCTGGTAGGACTTTTCGACGAAATGTTATCGTCTGCAAAAATTTATCAATTTTAAAATTGTTGAAAGAATGGTCAGCTAATTCAATTAATCACTTATTACTCATTCATTTGTCTAAAAGAGTGTGCAAGAAATCTAAATAAAAGTATAAACTTTAGTAATCATAGTAGTGATCAATAAACCTGAACATCATCTTCCTCTTTGCCACTAATCTCATAAATATCTTGACGATCAGCGGGATCGATAGCTGGAAGCTGACGTCCATAAGCAAATCGATCAGTCACATATGCTTTACCCTCAAAAACCCATCCAATATAAATATCGGAGTTGGCCATTTGACCGTCACGTGAAAAGCCAATACCCGTCCAACGACCCAATTCTTTCGAAGATATTTCAAATTTGACATCTTTGCGAGCTATATTATATTCCCATTTTGCCACGTAATCACATGTAGGACCTTCGCAACCCGTTGGATAACGATATTCCATTTCACATGAGCTTGTCGCTGAATAAATTTTTGCATTAATTTTACAAGACTTTTTTGCAAAAATAAATGAAAAATTAGTATAGTAACGTCAATAAATCACAAAAGACAATAATAAATAAATAATAAATCGAGAGGGAATAAGAAAAGAGTGTCACTTTTTAAATAATTTAAAACAGTAAATTTTTTAAATACTTTAAAACAGTTGATCAGAGAATTTACATGCTTATTAAAATGTGAATTTTATGAAATCAAATAATTTAGAATATATCATCTTTATTAAAAGACATTTATAAATGAAATTTCGGATTGAAGACATAGTTAAAGTGATCTTTCACTCATGGAAGAGTTAATGAACAACTTACGTTGAAGGTCTTGAGGAGCAGTACAACTCTGTATGCAAATTTTATTCTTTGAAACTTCAGGTGTGGCAATATGCCTCGATATTTGACCATTCTACAGTTCAAAAATGTTTTATTTTTATTTATTGAAACTTAATCTGTCTTGTTGTTGCTCAGTTGTTATCACTGTTAATGATATCTTTTACACTTTTGTCGCTTTCTCAACTTATTTAACACTTGAATTTTAATAATTTTATTATAGAAGTACTTTATACTGAAAAATTCTTTCAGTCTTATCTGATTAATCTTGCGTGTTAAATAAGTTGAGAAACCTAATATCAAACTGTATTGCTTTTATAGCATAGAAAAACAAAAAGAACAAAAATGCAAACAAACCGGTTCTAATCGTCCACCGGATACCGGAAACAAGAATTTGTAACAATTTGTTTCTGAGAAATGATGATCTGCTTTCCTATCTCCAGTATCACGTTTCCGAGTAAACTGAGCTCGAAGTACGCCATTTACATGTGTTCCAATTACTGTTGGAGTATATACATCTTGTTTACTATCTTCTCGTGGTACGCCATTTCCCGTGCTATACATGTCATGAAGTGATAATTGACCATTTTTACTTTTTACAATTATTAAGTCAGCTTCCACCTAAATAAACATATCATTCATAGCAATTTTCTTTGATGCAAAATGAAACAATGTTGGAATTAATAACTTGCTACAAATCCTTTTTCTCAACAAATAATTCCAATCTAATTTGAAGATTTATCATCAATATATTAAAGAAAACTGAGACATACCATTGTACCAGTAGGTGAAAATCCAACACCTGTCCACCAATTTGAAGGTGCGTGAGTTTCAACTGAGAATTCAATTTCGTCTGTATCATCCAAATAATTCCATGAAATTCGATAATCACAATCACGACAACCAGGAGGCCATCTCCAATCACCGTAGCAGACATCACCAGAAACATCTGTAGCATAAATTTCAGAAAATTAAAATCGCTGAGACAATTTTTGAAATATTTAGCTAAAAAAATTTATTTTTCGTTTTTTTGCTAAAAAACAAAATTAAATGTGTGAAATATTTGCACAATAACTAGAGCTTTCAAAATGCTTTTTTTCAGTAGATTTAATGCTGACTCTCAAGAAATCAACACAGCATGAATATGCAAAAGACTTTTTTTCCACACATTCACTAAAAATAAGCGATTTTTTGCAGTTTTAGAGTAATTTTCTAAGTGCACACCTTAAATAAGTTTTACAATATATTATTGCATCAAAATTAGTACTAATAACAGTTTTAAATATTTTGATACTCCAAGTATAGACTTTTTTGACAGTTCATGAAGTAATTTAATTCTGAAAATAATTGAAAGTGAAGTACCAGTTTCTGACCGCAACGTAGGTACTGTGGTCGATAAATTTTGTGATTTGATGTTAGTGCTATTTTTAACAGTTGACTGTGCTGCTTTGCTATTCGAGTATTTCGATTCAGAAGTTTTACTTCCATTTTGTAATGCTACAAAATTTGTCGAGTCTAGTGCATCGATGGATTCAGCAATGCTAATTGTTGAAGTTTTCGGTACTGCTTGAACTGACTGAGTAATATGTTGCCGATTATTTGCTCCGCGGCGTGCTAAATTAAGCATTATATGTAAATTTTTGTTTAAAATTGGAAATTTCTATCGACTTTTTAACTTTTTTTTGCTAAATTTATCATTTTTTTACTTATTATCTTTCTTTTTTCAAAAAAATTTTTAGCACTCTGAAGTAAAAAATAAATGTAAGAAGCAAAAAAAAATTTTTAATATTTACATTCAGGTGGACAATCGCCCCAGTAAACACATCGATCCTTTGTACGAGTGTAACCGTGAATGCATGCACAAGAAGGCTGCCAACATTCTGTACACTTTTCACGAGAATAAATCTGAAAAATATGAAATGCATTTCTGTACATGGTGGATTTTTATTAATCAAAAAAAAAAGAAGATTTCTTCTATTTAATCAGTTTTGTACAGTATTTTATACTTTGTAACTGTATTTTTTATACTCACTTTAATTCACTTTTTTCAATTATTTTTGCTCCTAAATTATTAAAAATAAAACGAAAACTGAAAGATGCTCAAAAATTGAAGCTTTATTATTAATAGCAAATTCAAGCAGAAAAAATACTGAATCATAACTTCAGGTTAATTAATACTAATGAGTAAATTATATTTAAATCTAATATATCTCCTGCAAATTATCTTTACTCTATGCATTATGTAATATCTGGAACATTAAGTTATTAAATATTCAAACTAACGTTGTTACAATTTGGTTCACAAGCTCGGCCACATTCATTAATAGTTTCATTAATTCCACACGTCAAGCTATTATCCACGATCTTTTCAATTTCATTAATAATTGATGGAGTTTCTGTTGTTATCGATTCTGATCCATTCAAGGAATCACTATCCCTTGTATCAGCATTATTTTTCACGTGTAGTGGTACTGTTCCAACTATGCCATCTTTTACGATTGATGATGGAGAAATATTAGATGCAAATCGTTGTTCAAGATCTAAGACGTTTCATTATTATTTGCTGATCAGATAGTTATAATTCAATAGTTAAAAATAAAATTCATAATAATGTTCTTATTAGAAGTGAAAAAATACAAAAAAAAAAAGACAACACTTACTTGGACAATCACCCCAAAATATACATTTTTCTTGATATCTTACATAATTATCTGCGCAGGTACAAGCAGGTTCATTGCATGTTGCTGGACAAGGTGATGTGTCATACATATTTTCACATGTTGGCTCACAAGCAACGCCACACTTTGCCCAAGTTGAATTAGTTTGACACTCCATTTCAACCAAAAATCATTAATATTAAATTGACTACTTCAATTTTTTAAAATCATTTTGTCGATTTTATTATTTGTTAAATAATACATAGCAGTATCTCAATGTAAAAAAAAAATCAAAAATTTATAGGAAAATGATTTATTCTAGGAAAATATAGTTAAATATTACCTCTGCAGAACAAAAATGAAACTGTACGCAAGTATCATTATCACTTGATAATCGAACAAATCCTTCTTTACAGACACATTTTGGGGTACCACATGTACGTGGACAATTTGGAATAGTTTCTGGAAATTCTGTCCAATCACAAGATGCTTCACACTGACGGTTAAACTCTGGACAATTTGAAAATTCTTCATTCTCCTTGCATAATTCTACAAACAAACAAAATACACTATTTGGCACAATTTTTTAAATTGTTTTTTGCTGATATGAATAATAATTGTGATTAAATCACAATAAAAACTTTTATTTGTAATTTAAAAGATAGCAATCTTTTTATTTACTTAACTTTTTTGTGCCTGTCAAAAATTAAATTTTTCAATACTTACAAGTAATAATAATTTCAATTTCTTGTTGCTTATGCAGGTTCAATTTTGACAAAATTTCAAATTTTTTACAACTTAGTGCTCAAAAGACAATACTTACTTCCACTAGTAATACTTTGTGTAGATGAAACAAGATTATTTTTGTGAAATTCAGAAGAAAGTGTTTCATCTGCCACTGCTGATTTCGATACCGATGGCGCTGTTGTAGTTATTATGCTTTCTGATATTTTCTGCTTTGATGTACCAAAATATTCTAATGATGGACAAAAGTTATTGAAATTTTTCGATTTCCAACCAATTGCAATCCACGCATCAGTTTTGAATTTCAATACAAATTCAATTTCCTTCTTAAAGGTAAAAGCAGGTAATCAAGAAAGTTAATCTGGTCAATTCAACAAGTAGTTCATAATTAAAGTTAACCTTTGTTATAATTAATATTAAGTGTTAAATTACGAAAATGTACTGGAAGAACTATCATAATTGTTTTTAATATTGATTCAAATACTTTGTGTAGATGAAACAATAAGTTACGATTATTTTTGCTCGTTTTTACTGGAAATATTTAAAAATTCCTATCAAGTTTGTCAAGTAATAATCAGAGACTGCAGGAATCACTTTATTATTTCTTCCAAAAATAAATCAAGAAAAACTTTCCAAACATTTAGAAATTGACAAATATTAAAATTATAATTGAATTTATTTGAGTACTGGTACTAAAATGTTAATTATTTTCAATACAAAGTTCAAAATAAAATCTTTAATTTGATTCTTGCAAATAACACAAAATAAATAAAAGTAATGCAAGTTACGTAAGTAATACAAAAGTTCATGCAGTTTTCTGTTGTCCTTTTAGCATGTCAACCAAATTAACCTTCGCATAAATTATGCTTAAAAAGTTCTAGCTTTGTTTAAAATTGTAAACAGTAAGTCAGTCTGATTATTCTTTTCTGCTTATCACAGTGTGCGGAATGAGTCATTTACTTCATCATATCATTGTTGGCAATGAACTATTCAATGAACTATAATCACTCAAGAAAATAACGGAAGGTGGGTTGTGAGACCGCGGTTAAGAAGTGAAGAAAGTATTACTTTAGTATATCGGTCAAGGTTCCCAAATTCTCAAGTTCTTATCACATAAGAAAACTATCATACACTATAATCATTACTTCCAATTCTTTCGTTAAACCCTTCACAATGAACTATAATATGAACTTAATATGAAGAAATCAAGAACTGCACATTTTAATGTAAATATTAAATTTTACATAAGTGGTAGATTAATAACATTTTGTTTGGTTTTTGCAGACGTAAAGGACACTGATGTTTAAGTGAAACCTTCTACACCAAAACAGTCAGTTTGAATGATATTCAAAAGCATATAAAATTTTGAAGTAATAAAATTTGATGATAAATATATATTCAGGATCAACTTCAGTCTAATAAATTATTATCAGAATAATATTGTTAGTATCAATACCGCTATCAGTGATAGCAATAATAAATAGAAAAAAAGTAATATCTGTTGAAAATAAATCATTAACACAGTAGTAATAATGATACAAATAAAAATAATAAATCATAATGAATAGAATGGAAGTAATAATCAAGAGTAAAAAAAAAAGAACGAAATTGACTTACTGAGCTTTAAGAAAATAATGGTATAAGAAATTTCTAAATGAAGGATATAGTGAATTTTATTTATTAAAATTGCTCAAATGAGATGGGCTAAAAAATATTTGAAATATTTCAAATGCTCCAAATTTTTCACTCATTGAATTTTTAAAAAAAATGATAAAAAGTAACTGGAATAAGAATGTTTTCTTTAAATTATTTCATTTAAAATTGCAGTTAAAGAATTTCAAATGCTTTCGGGTAATAAAACTTTGCAATTCTAGTATTCACACAAGAAAGATATGCTTAAAAATGCTTTTTTTTTTGTGGATGAATTAATAACTGCTGCAACCTTTAAAATCTTTTTCATACCAAAGTATTAAAAATAAAAAGATTATTTTCATTTTAGCTAAAATTTAAATAAAAAAGAACCTGCAATATTCTCCAGTAAATTTTATCTTTATCCTTTCCAACTTCACGCAATTGATATAAAGATGGGATAAATTCTGAATCATCCGTAAAACTTTTCGATTCTGAAAATCTACTCTTTCTATGCAGAATATTAAAAAACAATTATGACTACTTTTGTGCTGTTTTTTCCTTGTACGGAAAGTTCAGAAAAAATATTTTTGTCATGCAAATCATTGATGAGAATCTATTCCTAAGTATGATTGAAAAGGACGAGAAACACAACAGCACACCATTTTGCTGCCATAAAATTCAGTGTTAAACTGATTTAAAAACATCCTCAAAATATTTTTGTAAAAAATGAATAGATAAAAGAGAATTTAGATTAATGCATTAAATATTTACCTATAAGTAAATAATAAATTGAAATAATAGTTTGCTTTCAAACAATGAAAACTATGTTTTTTCATTTTGGCATTACTTTTGTCAGACTAAAAATAAATTCAAAAAGTTAATTTGACGTTAAAAATTTTTAAAAACTGTGGATTCAGTTATGATTAACAATAATTAGAAAAGTGATATTTAGTACTGCACACCGATACAAATAACAACAATGGAAATATTGCAGCTATTTTCATACAAATAAAAACAGTAAAAACACTATTATATTTTTATAATATCAATAATTCAACATTTTTATATTTAATTACTGTTTTCAATTTTTCCGTTTGGATCATTAATTAGCAATGGAAAGTTCTGAAGAATGTTATCTTGACATAGTCAATATTAAATATACCGAAAATGCTATTTTTGATATGAAGACGAAAGATGATAGCTTTAAATCAAAATTCATAATAATATGTCTGTTTGAATAATTGCTTTTCATCAAAAATTCTGTCAAAATTAATTGTTATTATTAAAAAATTATTATCCTATGAAAACAGAAATCACAAATAATATTTTCAGAAATTCAAAAATGACATACCTTGCAAACAATTTTTACCAAAATAGCCTCGTTGACAAAAGCACTGCTTTATTTTTAATGCTTCTTTAGGAAATGAAATACACTGACCATAATTGTTGCAATTTGCATTATTTATACAGTCATCTACAAAAGCTTACAATAATTATTTGTAATTTATATGCATAAATAAATGAGAATAATGTTAATTCTATTTCAAATAAAGGTAAAATTATTTGAATTGTATGATAATAATATTGAAAGCATTTCAATAATTTGTCAAATAATATAAATAATTATTTGATATCATAAATTTTATTACTCGTATAATCTGCAAATGTTCACTTGGCAAGATTTGATTTTAATTATATTTTTCAATAATAAGACTTGATAATTAATCAAATTTTTTTTATTGCAGTCACTTGATAAAGGTTGTCTACTTGCAATAAAATTTGACAAAAATAAATACTTAATTTTACATAACTTGATTATTTATTAAAAATAATTTATTGCATACATTGATACTGGCAATTGTTTCCAAACATTTGCGGAATACATTCACATATTCCATTATTTCTTAGTCCATTTCCAAGACATGTATCACCATCCAGAATTTCTAAAATTTTATTAATTCTTTCATCTTCGAATATCATTTTTAGTTATTTATTTTTATTTCATCTAAACTACTAATATTTAACACAAATGTAATAGAAAACAAAACAGCAATTTCTGAATTTTGTTTTTGAACAAAATTTTTGAAACATTATATGCAAATTTTTTGAACAATTATATGTTTTTTGAACAATTATATGCAAATAACGATTAACATTTAAGGACAAAAAATTGCTTATGAAAAAATGAAAGTGACATTGAAATAATAAAATCACAGACAGAATAAAAAATGAACACATTAATACTAAAAAAATCCAAATTTTTATCGTTGAAAATTTCCCATACTTACTTACCACTGACAATATTTACATCAGCACATGAATAAAAAGTTTGACTTTTTCCTGCCATCATTGTTGTTTGTATGGCTCTAATCGCACATTTATAACATTCATAATTTTCCGGTAATTTTACTTTTGTTGATGTTTCGCTGAATTGAAGCATTTTTTGGATTAAAATAAACAATTCAAAAATTATTTAAAAAAAACTACAGAAATTAAGATTAAAAAAAATATAAGTCATCAAAATACAATAAATATTTTACATATTCATTTATTTAGTTGAAACATTTACTATATAGTTAGTAGTTTGAGTTATTTACTCCATAGTTATTATAGTTATTAATTAGTTATGCTAAGAAATATAGAAAAATTATTTTTTGATTTTCCTTATTTAGCATAAAAGGCTGTATAATTGTCAAGTAAAAATACAAAGAGTTACAAAGATGCATTTGTGGAATTGCCCAATGAAGATGGCGTCAGCACGGTTAATACTTGGTTCATTTCATTTAACAATTCAAATTTCAGTTTTACCTAAAATGAAATTGAAATATTATACCAGTGGTTGTAAAAATTTAAAATATTGTGGGTTTTTATTTATTGCAAAGTTGCTTCAAAAAATACTTCAAAGTTTGCATTTGCAGCTTTCAATAAAATAGCAACAGCTAATGTCATAATAAATAATCTTCAGAAATGAAAAATTCATTTCTATTAATCACAGAATACAAAAATAAAAAGTCTCAGCAAATTAATAAAAAACAAACGCCAGTGAAAAATCAACCTATATTATCTTATTCAATCATTTATTCGCTCAAAAAATTAGAAAAATATCAAATCTTTGTAAAGTTTTTCAAATTTTTATTCTAAAAACTTTAAAAAGAAATGAGAAAGATTGATTTAATAATTAGAAGAATCTCTTTTGCTTCAATTTGATAATTATTTGTTTGAATAAGTTTGTCTAAATTGGATAATAACTTAAAATTTATTAAAAATTGCATTAAAAATATAATTGGATATGAAAAAGCGTACATCAACAGCTATTGATGCGATCCATTGAATGTTAACTTCTTCACCCGAAAGTAGCCATGTAACGGTACCTAAAATGAATTACAATACGAAACAGCGAGGGGATTGTTAACAAAGAAGAATAAAAATTTGAATATTAGTTTAAAGCATTTACAAAAAATCGCGCTTCTTTAAATATAATTTAGATATAATAAGTGCTAACCTGACAAATCCAATAAAAAGTACTAATGTTTTCATAGTTTTGAATATTTTTAAAATTAATTTTGGTGGAAAAATTTGGGCTGAAGTAATCCATTTAAAATTTGCAAAACTAATTTTTCCTTTTTTAAAGTTTTCGAATTTTTACTTTTTATCTTTCAAATTTTATATTGTGAAGACAATAATTTTCAATAGGTATTATGTAATATAACTAACTTTATCATCCATATTTTTGAAAACAGTAGATTTCAATAATATTAATGATTTTGATCTTGCTTATAATAATTCACTTTACAGCAAATAATTTTTCATTCTATATTGAATAAGTTTATGATTAATATCAAATTAGTAGAATCTATCTTTGCATCTAACTATGAAAGTTATAACATAGTTTTCATTGATCTGATATACAGTGTTGTTCTTTTTTGTCCTTTGACCTTCATATATTTCATGAAATGATTATTAAATAAGTAATTTTCACTGATAACACTGCTAAAATTTTTATCATAAGAGCTAGTTTATCAATTTTTATTTTCGCAAATATGTTTAGATATTCATTATATATGAAGGTTAGAAAAGAAATCTCATCAAAAAAATTATTCGAAACTGCAAATTTTCAAAGTGTAAGAATCAAATTGATATTTCACTATGATGAAAATTAAAAACTATTGAATGTAGAGCTTAATCAGTAAAACCATGATGAATTATTAACATATTTTGCAATAATTATCGCCAAATACGGAAAAAAACAGAAAGTTTTTTAAAACCGTCTTATAGGTGCAAATTGAACATCTGCTGTACATTATGAATGGTTTCAATCAACCTCAACTTGCAGATCATTATCAATTCAAGAATTTGAACTTCACAAAATACAAATGGACAGAAAATTCAGAGAGATTTCTCAGACGAAAATTTTCTTCTGTGAATTTGTATTATTTTTTGAAAAAAAATTTTTATTGGTTGAAGACAATTTTTGTGAAAAATTTTCCTGAAAGAACTAAAAAATGAGAAAAAAACTTTTCAAAATAACTGTTTCACTTATTTATTTATTCCTTACCATTCTATATACTTTTTTATTTGTAAATTATATCTAATCAAAATAAAAATGGCGAAAATACAGAAATGAAATTTGAATGTGATAATACTGCAAAAGCCAACAATTTTAATTTGAAGTTTACTTTTGGCAAAAAAAGTCATAAATTTAAATAGCATCAAAATTCATCACAATATTTTTTCTACTTGTTATTTTTGTTATTATTACATAAATGAAAATTTCTCATCTCATTTTTGTAATACATTCTATAAGTTATGCAGACAAAAAAATTTTCTGCTATGTTCAAAATATGCTTGTGTGTAAGTGATTTATGCAAACTTGAAGGCTTACCTCAAACTGTCAAGATGTTTCAAAGTTTCTAAAATGCAATCAAATTTCAGTTAACAATTTTTATTAATTGAAGAAAGATGACAATGTATTTGTGTTTATGTCATAAAATTAATAAACTGCACTCTAATTTCCACTTGAGTACTAATTTTTACTGCTGATTACTTTTGTTCTTCGTGAAATCAATCATTTTTATGTAAATCTTTATGTACACATAAATTTCCAGTGATTTTATAAAAGTAAAAAATCGATTTGACGAATTAAAAGGTATATAAAAAGTACTAAATAACAGTTATGATAAACGATACTGATGTAAGTAATAAATAATATTTGTAGAAATACTACTAAACATTCATTCAAAAACTATCTGAAGCATGCGTGATCTAATTCGACCACAAAGTGATTTGAGTAAAATTCCTGCTAACTTTTGTGTGAATTCGTCAGAAAAACATTATACGTAATCACTATTTTACCAATAATTTCATTATCTTTACTTCCTGTAATTCTTTCACCTTATTTGCAAATAAAAATTTTATTACTCTTTCAATTCAAGGCTTAATTTTTAATCAAATCAATTAAATAACAGTTATGATAAACGATACTGATGTAAGTAATAAATAATATTTGTAGAAATACTACTAAACATTCATTCAAAAACTATCTGAAGCATGCGTGATCTAATTCGACCACAAAGTGATTTGAGTAAAATTCCTGCTAACTTTTGTGTGAATTCGTCAGAAAAACATTATACGTAATCACTATTTTACCAATAATTTCATTATCTTTACTTCCTGTAATTCTTTCACCTTATTTGCAAATAAAAATTTTATTACTCTTTCAATTCAAGGCTTAATTTTTAATCAAATCAATAAGACAAAAAAACCTGAAATATTAACTGTCTTACAAAGATAGTGTAATTTTTTTAGATAGATCACAAACGTTGTGAACTTTTTCATATGTATCTTTCATTTGAAATTTTCAAATTCTTTTCTTCATGATTAAAATTTAAATTTTCAAACGTCAAAGAAATTAATAAAATTTCCATTGCGCGAGCACAGGGAATGACTGCGCAACAGAAAGACAAACAAGAAACAAAATAATTGTAATGAAGTATAAATTTAGCCACTCGTAATTTAAGATTATTAAAAATGACTTGAAGAATAATAATAATACTTATTAACCATTCAAATCCGGACTGACACCGCATGTTTGTTCGGTAGCTGTTGCTGCGATGATATTTTTTGACAGATCTTGAGATGGTGGATATATTAATCTGATTTGTGCACAGCTTGCTGTTACATGTAGTAACAATAATATAACAGGCAGCATAATCCCTAAAGCAACCAATTTTTTTTGAGCAGCCTTTAAAGAGCAATTTGAGAAAATTCCATTATGCTTTCAGAATTCATTAAAACGGTTGAGAATTGTTGACACGACGTATAATATATAATATAAATAAATTTATTCATAGGTATCATACACAGTATTACTATATATATGTAATACCATGTATGATACCAATAAATAATTTTCAGCATTTTAAAGTTGCAATTACTGAATGTTACTAACAAAATGAATAAATATTTAGGAAGTTGAGTACAGAATTCAAATATTCGTCAATCGTTATAAAAACACTAAAACGATCCAAATTGATTTCAACTCCTGAGTTATATCTAATATTTAATTTAGATTCCATCAACAGTTATTAGATGAACTTTTAAAATGCAATTATTCATTAGTAAAACATTTCTGACAGATATTTGAAGTCGAAATTTAGTACTGTTTTTATTTAAAGATATTGCAAGTGTAATTAAAAAATAAAAATAAAAACAGTGTTTTCAAGAAGTTTAAATTAAGAAATACTCAGTATCTTTGATATAATACTGAATATTATAACAGTAATAGAGGCCTGAAAAACTAAGGGTTAAATTTAAAAGCAAGTAAGTTATAGTTGAATTATAAAAATTGAACAGCCAATTCATGTAAATTTTACTCATAACTTTTTACACCGAATTTTTTGTGAGAAATCATAGTAATTTTGTACAAATTATTACCATAAAAATTTCTCATTTGGCATGAAAGTAAAATGAAAGCAAACTTAGCACATTATAGCAGAAAAAACGGTCAAGTATTACGGTCATCGAAGATTTTGCATTAGTTAATGAATGACTGAAGTAAAGGGTCTTTCTTACTTTTTAATGTAAGTCGGAAAGAAATTAATGCCTTTTTTTACGGTCCACTTCGGACATTTGAAAAGGTCAACGCTACTTTCAGCTTCTTTTTTCGACTCTTTCTATTTGACAAAGTACTTTAGCGCAAATTGCTATTAATTTTGATGAGAAGCAATAAAAGTCTCATTCTAATTTATACTTACAACTTTTTTTATATTACTGCTTAAGTGAAACATTTAAATATGGTTTAAATTTTCATTTCACACTTTCATTTTTGCATAAAAATTTCAGGTTAGGTAATAACTGAAGCATAAATTTAGGATATTATCTTCTACCAAATTTTATTGAAATTTTAAATTAGCATGCACGAATGAGCTTAAAAAGATACTT